AGAGAGAGAGAGAGAGAGAGAGAGAGAGAGAGAGAGAGAGAGAGAGACACACTGGTCCAAGGTCACAGAGGGTGTCAGAAATAGGAGCAAGATAGGCTTGTATCTCAGTTCTCCACCCCACTGCCACCACTCACATCCACTTTAACCCTTCCCTGATCTCAGCATCCCCCCCCATAAATCTAAAGAGGGTTGTTCTGTTGGCTAATATTTGAACATCTTGTGACGAAGCAGGCAGAAGATGCAGAATTAGAGCTTATCATCGGTAATAACAATGACGATGATAATAATATCAAACATTTATCCGACACCTTTCCTGTCAGGCTCCATACAAAGCAGCTTGTGTGTGTTGGTCCCTAGTTCTTCCTGAAGCCGTGTGATCACCCCATTAACAAACTGTCAGCTTGGAGCTTGGCGATCTTAGATAACCTAGCCAAGGTTACACAGCTTAGGAAGACTTGGTCTTGAGAGGTAGATCTCAGGTTCTTAGTTGGTGTTCTGCCACTGGCTAACTTGATGGTTAAGTTGTGGTATGGCACAAGTCACTACACAGCCTCAGTTTCCCCATCTGTCAAGTGTGTGTGGCAAGACCTTCCTTTTCTGAGTGTCTACTTGAACATGCTCTCAGGTTTCAGAGAAGGGCCACCCCACCAAGCTGTTCTAGAAAGCAGAAGCAGGGCAACACTCCCCTCCTCAACACACATCAACTCCCTGCCTGGCCTCAATGCCTCCAGCCGAAGGAAACTCCTTGGAGGGAGCAGGCAGAGCACAGCCTCTTTTTTGGTTTGTAAGCATTTGTGCCTCAGGCAGCGGTGAAGGGCATACTGTGGGGCTTCTGCCCAGAGTGAGTGATGACCCAATAGGCCTTTGGCCTGCTGTCACCCCCAGGCAGGGCCATCCATCTGCAGCAGTGCCCTGCTGCTACATGATACAGTGACTGGACATTGTCAGGATCAGCCAACAAGGCTTGCAGAAGGATACTTCTAATGCCCAGTTCCTCTGAACACCATGAAGAGACAGACCCTGGGCTGGTCCTGCCAGTGACCCATACAGGCAAAGATCCTGCCACTAAAATTACAGCACACTGGAGGTCAAAGTGAGAACCATCGAGATTATGGATTTTCCTGGCTCCCTGCCTAACTCACCAGTGCATGCCTTTGGGGAGAACTCTTCCTTACTCTTAGCCTCAGTTTCCCCATCTGTGTGAAAAAGGATTTGTCTGGGAATGCAGTCCCTGCTCTGACACTCTGAACCGGCCAGCTTCCACAGCAACCTCCAGGGGAAGGCATTTCTTTCAAAGGATAATAGAGTGCCTAGGAATGAATAGGATTCCAGCCATGTAGGGACCAGGTGGCCTAGCCCTGTTCATTTCTAAACTGCATTAAGGTGCTTTCTGACAAATGGCCTTTCACTGGCAGAGAAGGCAGCTGAGCACCAGGGGCAGAAAAGTGTTAATGAACACCCCCACCAGAATCATCAATGGCTCCCCTCTCTCCAGAGGCCTAATCACCTTCATTGGTGGGACTTTGCTTCACTGGGCTGCTGCGATTTGAATCGTGGATGTGAAAATCTGTTATCAAAAACCATTGCGGAATAATGTAGTGATATTATGGCACCTGCCTTTATTTTTTAAAAAAGATTTGTGTCTAAGCATATGTGTGTGTGCATATGTTTATGTCACACACATAGAGAGAGACTATACAAAGACTCCGAGGTCATATTTCAGTCCATAAACGGGGAGACGGGGCAGATGACACGCTGTGTTATAGATATTTCCCAGTGTCTTCCAAATTCTTTGCAATCAGGAAGTAAACAAAGGATCAAGGAGTAACAGGATATTATAAAGTTACATGAGAAAATAAGATCCTAGCTCTGCAGTGAGAGGTGATAGATGAGGCCCCGCCCTCTGGGGGGGATCTCAGAGAGAAGACAAGTCCCAACACAGACAGAGAGAAGGAGGGACAGATCAAAGGAACTCCTATCACCCAAGGAAGCTAAGCACAAGCTTAGAAGCTGCCCCTTCCATGTTCTGGCCACGCCTACAGTCACTGCATTCTGTGTGCCAAACCAAAATTTGGATTCTTCAAGAAACCCTTTGTCCCTTTGACCTTGAACAGTTGAGATATAGATGTGAAGTGGTGGCAGCTGCCTGGAACTCATCCAGGACCATTTAGGGGTTTCGAGACATCCCAGAGTCTCCTCAGGTTGGTGCAAGGGAAGGAAGAACACCACTGACTCCCAGGGCATTCCCCAAGGTGATGCCTCCAGCAGCAGCAGTAGCAACTGCAAGAAGCATCCAGCTCCTCCCTGCCCCTTCTCAGCTCTAATCTCTAGATCATACTCCCATTAATTATTATTACCGTATTAATCATACATGTGATTAATTCAGTAATGGTGATTCATAATTGATTGCATTTTATATGGCGCCTTTCATCCACACATCTCCCAAGATGTGCACAGCCTACAACAAGACTCACATAGAGCAGGACGTGTTCTTAGCTCATCTGCATTTTGTTGAATAAACTTCTCTTTACAGAGGCAGAGGGCTAATAGTCTTGCACAAATTGGGCTTGCCTGCCAGCCCTACTCCTTGCCCATTTCCCTGAGCAATGGTGCCCTGCCTTGCCTGGTGTTGCCTGAGTCCTGTAGATTGTAGTTCTATGACAGGCAAGTCCATCTGAGTCCCCAGATGTTGGGCCAGACCAGTCTTTCTCCACAGAAGGCAATGCTATGAAGTGGCTCTGGATCAAGGGCTCTAGAACTAGGCTTTCTGCTAAGGAGCTGTGTAACCTTGAGCAAGCTGCTTTCTCCCTACCTCAATTTGCCTAAATTACGGTGGCATTAATAATAGTCTCTCTCTCTTTGGACAACTAAAACCAATTAAACACCTAGAATCTGCTGTATAGGAACCTTACTTTTGTAGCATATCTATAATCAGACTTCTCATTCTTTTTCTGGGCCTCAGTTTTCTCAACTTTAAGATGGGATGATGGATCCAGAGAGATGGCTCAGCAGTTAAGAGAGTGTATTACTCTTGCAGAAGACTTGAGTTTGGTTCCCAAGCACTTAGTTTAGGCAGCTCACAATCACCTGTAACTCCAGTTCCAGGGGAATCCAATGTTGTCTTCTGTCCTCTGCAGGTACCTGTGCACGCGCGCGCACACACACACACACACACAATAAATAAATAAATAAATAAATAAATAAATAAATAAATAAAATGATAAGACGGGATGGCAGGCCCACTTCAGGAATTCTTCTGAGATGGGAAATGAACACTGACAACAGTAGCAATTGGGGTTTTGAGAGCTCAAGAGTTAGGCACCCTGGGTTCACAATCCTGTTTGCCATTTTCTGGTTCTGTGACCTTGAGCCAAGGACACATCTTGCCAAGTCTCAGGCATCCAAAGACATAAGCTTGGTGTAAGGATTTAGTAAGCAAATACTTGAAACTGTTTGGCTTCTAGAAAGTGATTGGCAGGAAGTGGCACCTGTCACTTTTCACCCAGGTAGGCGCCCTGTTTCTTGATGGTTTCCTGTCTCTACCCTCTGCCTCTACAGGAGAGAGACCAGCATTCTCCCCACTGTCTAGGTGAGAGCACCGAGGTTAAAGACTCAGTCCTTGGTTCTTCAGTCAGGGAAGGACCCCACTGGAACCCTGGGTTCACTGATACTTGTCCCTGCGTTTATTATTCTAGTGCTTTCTTCTCAGTAACTTGGGGAGGAAGCTTGCACGGTGGTCTCTAGTTGCCAGTAGAGCACACAGGAACCTGGAGACCTGGTGCCTCCCGTAGAGCATGTCCCAAAGGAACCCTTGGGCAGCTCAAACAGGCTGGGAATGGATGAGAACAAGCCCAGCTGCTGGCCTTTGGCACTGGGTCTGTTCCCAGGGAGATCTGATTAAGATCCCTGTAGTGGGATGGTGGTGTCAGAATGTCACCTTCCCTAGCTCCAGGCAGCAAGGCAGGGAGAGGAGATTGGTGAAGCCCAGTCTAGGAGGAAGAGCCCAAGGCTCCTGCAGACAAATAGCTGGACTCCTTCCAGAAAGATGAAGCCCAGGCATGCCCTGCCCCCCTCCATCCCAGGAACTAGAAGAGAGCCAGGGCGCCTCAGCAGCAGCAAATCTTCCTTGTGAAGCCTCACTGGTGGGACCAATGATGTTCAAATCCATGAGCCAGGAGTTGGGGATTCACTGGGGTCTTGGGACAGGATGCACAGAGTCCCTCTACCAGAGAGTGGGTGACTACCTGGCCTCACTAGGTTGCACCTCAAAAGGCTTCTCTCTGTAGGCAATTCTGGGCTCCTAGCTGAGCACTTACTGTGTGTGGCATCCTGCTGGGCCCCAGAAATGACAGAACCATAGTTTAGTGAGCTGATCCATGCTATCCACTTAGCATTAAAGGGTGACTAAGCATCTACTACGTGCCAGACAAAGTCCA